AAGGCAGAAAACGTAATTCGAACGCATGTGTTAGAGATGAGAAGCATAAAGGAGCAGGAAAATTCAAATAGTTTGTCAGAAAACAGTCGATACCTTACGCAACGACATCGTCAAATCAGGCGATGTTTTCGGTAGGACATGGGAAAACTACGAATTTTCTTTTGTTCTCTTTTGACTTGAATGCGATTCTCAAAAAAACCGCCTCACTTTATCAATTTGAGTAAGCTGGAATAATCGCAATTTAAGCTGGGTTTGAATCCCGGAAGTGGCGCAATATCTGAGTTGAATTTGTTTGGCTCTCGCCCTTTATTGGAGAAGGGTTTTTTTGTATTATTTAATTTCAATTTTTTTTTTTACCAGCTTCGACCGAGTACTCCGGTTTCACGCCCCTTCCCCCTCCTTAAAATGCTTCCAAATTATAATTCGATCCCGACCGGGAGAGGAAGAATCACATTGTGGATGTACTACAGCTCTACCATTAAATCATTATATTTATTTGTTTTATCCCTCGCTTTTGGGCCCGGAAAACACGTGACTGTGAGTCAACTTTAATTACTGCAAAATTTTATGCAACTGTCCTTGCCTGCTGTATACTTAAATCTCCGACGCTTTCTCTTTCTGAGAAGATGGATCTGGTTGGGAGAACTTGATAGTTGTTCCTGTTTCCTAGATGCCGGATGTTTACATTTGGATTGCAAAAGTGTAATCACAACAAAATGTCTTAGAAATCTATTTGACTGTACATTTCTAGGCATGACAGGAACTGCTATCGCCCTCATAGCAAGTGCAGTTTTCTTCGCCTTAGCTGTTGTTTGTGCAGTTATTCTTGTCAAGTCTGGTGTTGTTCCTTAATGTCGAAGAACTACATCTACTAAACTTACAGAGGACACAACTTTGTCAGAGAAAGAATCAAGTTTATAGCAGCAACTACAGGACCAATGGAATTTATTTTCTACGATTTGTTCAAGTACAGTACAGAAGCAAAGAATTTTACAAGTACACATTATATATTTACAAAGATGTCTAAGTCACGCTTTACCGGGACAAATAAAAACCATCTCGAAAGAAGCTTTCTTCACATGCTAAAGTAAGAGAGGCGGGAATACTTAGCCGGCCTTCTTCTGTCCTATTCTGACAAAGTACTATTCAAGCTCATTCAAAACAAATCTGAGTGACCATTCTCATAAACATTAGAGAGCTTTAGATTTGAGAACGAGAATAAGTACGAGTACAAGATTGAACTTAAAGTTTTTGCACGTGTTCACAGAAAAAAGTCAACCCGGAAAGCTTCATTCTACTTTATTTCACCAAAAAGTTAGTACGGTTATTTATACTAAAAGAGCCCCTCTCCCGACAGAAAATGATAAAACTTCTTACATTTGATAACTTGCATTTAGTTCCCGCCACTACGACATTGGCCGTATTTATACTAGAAGACGTCTTAGACGTCCGGGCGCATTAAACGTCTGACTGTTAATGGCTTCCCGTTTTTATACAAGACGTCTTAAACGTCTGAGACGTCTAATTCGTCTGTTGAGTGCGTCGATGGGACGCACTTAACTTCAGACGTTTTATTCTTCTGACGTTCAATGCGTCTGCCTTATTTCCCTTATTTATACTAGACATCTAAGTCGTCTAAAACGTCTTGAAAGTCTCAGACGTCTTCTAATATAAATACGGCTATTCTCGCTAAAACTTCATTGTAGTGGAATGACGACGCTTATCACCTTCTCCCCCCAAAATGACGCTGGTTCACGCGTGAGCTATACTCAGTATAGAGAAAATCTCGTACTCATATAAAAAAAACCCGGAAATTTCGGTGGGAACAACAATGGATTTACCAATACTGAGGTAAAAAGTTGTTACATTTGATCATAAACCCCGGTACGGCACCGAGCCCATTACCCAACAGGACACCAAGATGGCTACCGAGTTGGTAACAACTGGAACTGGTATAAAGTACGAGAAACGTGTGAATGGAGCACAAAATTTCGTTCGGAACGTTCCAACCGGAAAAACGGGCCTACTTTTTTAGATTTTCCACTTTTCCCGGGAGTCAGTTTCCAGTGGGACGAACCGACGAAACGTTTTCCATTTACTGCCGAACCGAAATTTCCGGAAATTTTGACTAAATGGAAAGCGTCCGTGATCGTCCTCGTCTTAGAATCTAAAGCTCTCTGTTGCCTTTTCGGCTACGTCCAGACGAATTCTGATATTTTTGAAAACGCGTACTTTTTACACGAATCGGCTTTCTTTCCTCCTCGTGTGAATCCGCACACCAAAGCCACATTGTTTTGAAACTGCTCTCAAGAGCTGTTTAAGGCCGTGCCTTCGCGAATGCGGATACTGGAAACATAAGCGGTTTCAAAAATGTCTAGAATCTTGTGGACACGGCCTTAATCTGTTCTCTTTACTCAGGGTCCTGACGAACTATAACGAAGAGAACAGCAAAGAAAGAAAACGACTTCCCATATTTGGGAAGGTCAAGCCGTTGATCGACGATCTAATTCTATGAATTTTCAGTTAATTTTATCCTCTTTGTTGTTGTTTTTTTTTTCGGGGAAACATATGAAGATTAATGTGAGGATTTTAGAGTACTCTAACAATTACAGACATTGATAGAATGAGTAAACGAATAGTCATGAAACAAGTGAATAAACATATACATAGAACCGAATGAAGCATTCAATTGCTGAATTGCCATTTGGAAGGAAGTTCAAGAGCACACTGCTTTGAAAAAGAACTGGGTGTCTTCGTTTTCCATGATCTAAGCTGAAATCATCATGCTAATCCTTTCGAAGCTCTGAGGGTGCTTAATTTGTATTATCGTACGAGAAAAGATTTAAAAGCTTGACTGATATTGGAATTGACAAATCACTTTACATAGCTAGTGTTCTAGAAGCAAATAGGCTAGTGTTATTTGATCCATATATCTATATATTTATTTATTTATTTATTTAGTGTAATACACTAGTGAGCTGTTTACAATTAGCACTGATAATTATTCATTCGAAATGAAAATATTTTACCGTTTGTGATTGGCTTAATTCCCCCAGCTAATTCTTCATCACCAGCTAGCGTTGACCAAATTTGGAAGAGGTTGGCGATATCCGATAAATTGACATCGATGGTGGAGGATAACAACAGAAAAACGCATGGTAACCGAGAAGCCTTGTGAAAGAGGTGCGTAAGCTCAGCTAGCCAGAGAAAATAGGGGCAAATTTCACACGTTTTACAACAAAGAAATAGTTGAACTTCTGCCCCAAAAGAGCAAGAACTGCAAAAATACGGCGCGCGGATGACAACTGCTATTTTAAGAAGATCTGCTAGACTATTAAAACATCCCTTTATATCCTGAATTTTCCGAAGAACAGGCAAATGAAAACGGGAACTTAACATCAATGGAGTCAGGCATGTCTTAGCTGGTTTATAAACTAGGCATTATTTTGATTGAATAATAAAACAATTATTGAATTCGGCTTCCGTATGATCTAAAGAATTATGCTGTTCTCGGGGGGAGTTATCAACCATATAACTCGTTCGCTACTGGGATGAATCCCAGCAGTAACCGGGCTGAAGTGTATATATGCCAAAAAATTTCCAGCCCGCCTACCGAGATCCCGTAGAAACCGAGCCGGCACGCCCACTTGAATGAATACATCGAAATTTTAACAATGCGAGCAGCAGTTGGCCAGCCCTACCAATCGGGCCTTAATATAAGGTCCATTCCACCTTTGGTTGGGTATCATCTTAAGCGAAATGAATTACTTCTCAATATCAGAGTCGAACAATTTCTCAAGCTTTCGTAACAACTTGATTGATAATTTCATGATAAATATGGGGGTAATTTTCACAACAATTTCTTTTCCTGTGTCTACCAAAAGTTATTTCATCGTAATTTGTAACATCTTCCTGCTTATATGACTTAGAGATGGTGTATTAGGCTCTCTTTTCACCCAGGAATCTTGAAATCTTTGTTTAAGCTGCGCTCAGATTCACTGGATTGTATACTGCAATGAAATGTAATTTGGAATTTGATTAAATATATATGAAATGAATAATAAAACTTTTTCCTTTTATCGTGAAGAAACCTGGGGAACTTAGACAATCAAATGATTTTGCTTGAGGAATCCCGAAATCCGGGGCTTTGGATTCCGGAATACAGCTCAAGGAATCCGGAATCCCACTAACCATTGCAATCCGTAATCCAGTTTTTCGAATCCGTAATCCTCGGCGTGGAATCCAGAATCTAAGACTGTCCTGAATTCCCTTACGTGGGGTGAAATGTAATATTCTTTGCATTTCAGCCGGTAAGTGGTTTTATTACAGTGCTATCTCTTCCTTGGTGTTTAGGTAAGGACTGCTGTCGGAAGTTTGCTCTCTATATACTCTCGGCTCACAGGGGCACTCAACGACTTTTTCATTAGAAGAACTTTTAGAAGAAGCAAGTATTGCCTAGAAATTTCCAAAGCTCAACAAAAGGCTCAAAACCTCTGGATAACCTCCATTCGTCTAAGATCTTCGGAGCTTTAAGGTCTCCCGCCTGAATCTTCTAATTAAATTACGCCTACTAAAATGTCCTCGAACTTATACCGGCAGGATCGCTAACAGTTTCGGATGCAAGAAAAAGCCACCTTAGACTTTTGAGACGTCGACTAAAGTTCCCCTGAGACATCCGAACGGATGAATTGTTTTTAGGGCAGCTCCAAATCAAGCCTTAATGTGTTGCTTGTGATGGACTGTGTGACTGCGAGATGGGGTTCACAAGTCCAAAATGACCCTTGCTCGCCAACGAGTCCTCAGCTCCAAATTAACCGGCGAAAAAAATCATTTTCGATATTCTCGCTGAAGGCGTCCTTGATTTTTTCTCTCTGAATAAATGGGTGGGCTCGAAATCTTGCTCACATTTTCATCTTCGACGGACAAACATGGTAGTTTGTTCCTTTCTCGCTTTCTGATTTGGTTCGGAACTTTAACTAACGTTAAATCAGATCCCTTTAAATGAACAAATATGTTATTACTAAAGTTGATGTACGTGTGGTTAGCTTTCAGTTCAGTTTGCATTTAGGCGTGAAGTGATTTTATTTGACGTGTGTGTTAGGAATAATTTAGCATGGGATTGATACTGAAGTTAGAAAAAGGGTGGTATCCTGGTCGAGCTCTTTTTCTTTCCTATCATTTTTTTCACCAAAAAGTAAGATACTTGCTATTAACTGTAACTCTATGTTGATGAACGTATACCCTTGAAGTTCGTCGACTCATAAATTTTTTTATGAGAAGCAATTCTATCAGGAATACTCCAATTCTACTGGATTCGAAGAAGCTTTAATTTACTGAAACGCCTATTGTAAGTCGCACAAATCTTGAATTTTGATACTGTGACCTGATATGATATTCACTAATGTTCGTCGGTGACTTATATTTGAGGGTCACTTTGGTTTTTATAATGTCATAAAGTATCCATTCTTGTCACACTAAACTAAACAGCAACTTACTACTTAAAAATGAAAAAAGAAAAAAAATCAACCGTAATATATAAGAAAACAGAAATAGTTTATGTTGAGCCATAAATTGAACAACTGTCTGCTATCCCTGGGGGGTGGGGGGGGGGGGTTACTCCCTTATATGGCCTACACGGGGATGTGCCGCTGGACAGGGTATGGTTTTCGTCCTCTCTGTCCTGAACAGGATATATAGTTTGGCACAAGTCTGTCCTAAACAGGGTATACATTTTCGTGCAAGTCTGTCCTAAACAGTGTGCATGATTTGTGCGAGTCTGTTCTAATTATAAACAGGGTTTTTCGTGCATGATCGATTTCGTCTTAGTGCAAACGTTTGCAGATATTTAGTACGTCATCACTCAAAGCATTTACTGCAATAAATATAAATGCTATTGTTCTTGGCACCCTTGTCTAGCTAAGATAAGTACAAGTTGACAGGTGTGCTTGATAACCTTGTCCCCGTCAGAGGGAGTTGTTATCCTATCAGGGTACTAAAGTTGAGAGTGTTAGCTTAAACAGGGTATGGGTTTCAAACCCTCAGCTGCTCACCTATACCCAAATATTGGTCGAGTAGCCCCTCCCCCCCGCTCCACGGCCTGCTATCCTATAAGGAAGCTTCGAATTGACTGGGCCATAATTACACAATAATTGACTGTATTTGTACCCTCTTTGTAAACGTAACAATCATGTTTATATTGGGAAGTTCAGCAATAATAATCCAGATGGCCAAAACGTCCATATTTCGGCCATTCTTATTCTGAAGTATCCACCTTATTCTGAGCTATCCAAACAGATACTTTGCTATGAATAAGCTTTACAAGGCAGTCGCGGTACTGTAATACGGTACTGTTTGCTCCTTGCACTAAATTCTTACAAAAAGAACGTGAAAAACAAGTAACCTCTATGTAGGCTTTGATCCATATTTTGGAGTAACCATTCTCACCTTGGCCTTTTTCAGTCTTTGTATACTTATCTCTTTGAACACAACGAAAAACACAGAAAACTTGTGTTTTTCTGGCACCAATCAGAAGCCAGAACGGCGGCGACCGTTTGGAACTGGTCTGGTAAGACATTGTCCCCAGGGGCTCCTCTCGCCGTTCTTTACTTTTCTTCGTGCGATATTTTTCCGCCTGTTTAGACTTTCCCTCGCCCCCACTATCTGCCCCTGGGTGTCCGAGGATGTTACAAAAGATGTCTCGTATTGAAAGTCTATGGACGATTTTTGCGGGTAAGTCTTCTTGTATTAGTTAATATTTTTTGTTTAAAAAGGGATAAAAAGAGGTTAGATTGATTCGAAAACTTATTTCATCTCAACTCACTTTTTTGCCGTCTTCAATTAAAGGAACAGTTGTTTAATTAGCATATTCGTGTTTATTTTGTAGTCGACACAATGGAAGTTATAAGCATGCTAAAGGAAAAGATAATCTTTACTACAATAAACCTCGATCGCGCGGATATATATTACTTGGAGTATTTTTCTTTTACAGTAGAAACTAAGATGATGTTGTAAAACGTTTACGATGGGAATACTTCAAGCCAGGTTAAAACGATCGACCATTTTGGAAGTCAGTGAAAACTTTCGTATAACGATAATTGTAAATGCCACACCACTCATTAATCTCGATTACAAAATTTTGTTCGCCGGCGTTAGCAATCCAAGTGTGACAGAGTCACTTTTATAGTTCCTTAAGAAACTTATATATCGTTTTATTATGTTTTTAGTTACCGATTGTAGTTTTTTTTAATTCTTTTGGCTTATTTTGCAATTCTGTAGACGTGAGTAGATCGGTCCACGCTTACTGTCTAGAAAGGTCACCATCCCTATTGTTTAGTCAAATTCCCGGTTCAGTTTCTAGGGTTAATCACGTATTTTTGTAGTTTTACTTACTTGTCTTTTAGATATGCATAGGATTGGTATTTTCTTAGGTTCGTTTTTCCTGTGCGTAGTTTTCACTATCGCGTTTTATCGTTTTTCTTTTCAACACCTATTATTTGCAAGTTAGGCGTGACTTGGGCGTTTATTTAATCCCTTCTAATCAGGATGTGATGTATTTTTTTAATGCTTTTGACTCGTTTCCTGTCACATAAGTATCTGTTTGCTTACGTATAAATACGAGTACTTTTGTCTAGTTTCCTCGAGTTAAGTTAGCTCGGCTATTAAGCTTTGCTGTTTAGCTGTGGAGCTTAAATCCCCAGAAGGTCTCGACCTCTGGTAATTTTTGCGTAACATTTCCTTATTTCGTTGTTTCATTCTCGCGCTGTAATTAATATATTTCATTAGCTTCAATTGTCGTTAGTTTTGTTTGTAATTAGGTGTTCGTTTTTCTTTTGTAATAAACATTCATTTAAGCCCACTCCTTGCATCCAGATGATTCATGTCGTTGCAGTGCCACTGCTCTTTGGCCTCTGGCCGTTGGCGGCGTTGAACCGCTCGCGCCGCGCGGTTACACAAGTTCGAGTTTGTGAAGGCTTCGCAAATGTTTGAGGAATTTCTGCTGTAATTGACACCAGTCTTTGGAAACGCGAGCATTTAGTTTATTAGAGGACAGTTCTGTATGCATTTAAATATGTACAAAATCCTTGTGCTAATTTTTCATTTGCGTTACAAAAAAAAAGATCGAATGACCCCGAATGCCCGTTCTTCCAGTTTTACCTAAGGAAAAGAACATGAGGTACAATCTTAGAAATACGTCAGTCTCTGTCCCTAGAATCTACACTGACAGGTTTAAGAACGTTTTTAGTAACAGAATAATTTTTAGATATGATATGTAAATAGTTTTTTGAGTTTATATTGTAACTTAGGATATGTGATTTTATCTTAAGAAATAAAGATTATTATTAAAGCTATTTTACTGTCACGCAAGTAAAATGTAGTTGATGGAACGTGACGCCAGTTATCAGTAACCCTTTCATGGCGGTTCCTTCAGTAAAGCAGTTGTGTAGTCAAGCTGCCAAGGTCAGCAAGCTCTAAGATACATTGTATTCTGGCGTAGAACTTTACGGCCTTGTTGTCTTTAGCATGCTAGTACGATCCACAGCATTGGCCAACTTTTTCAATGCACTATTCATGGCTAAGAGTTCGCACGTGCAACGCTGAGCTGTCTTGTAGTACAGCCTTTTCTACTGGCTATGCCAGCAGACGTTTGTGTAGCTATAAAAGCCTAGAACAAGTGTTCAGAGTTCACTTGGCTTCTGTTATTCAGCAGGGTTAGTCCTCAGTATACGATTCTTGTAAAATTTTTAAAATGGCTCGCCCTCGTCGTACTATTTCGCGCTCGAACCGTGCATCCAGCCGAGGTGAACAGGATCTCTCCACGCTAGCAAGCGAAGTGCTCAAACTCCGTCTTCAAGCCCTGAACCTCCGCATTAAGGGATCCAAAGGGCAGCTGCTAAATCGACTGAAGCGGGCCTTGCCGGGACAAGTGGCCACGTCGACCACGGCGCAACCAAAGCGAGTTTCCAAGGCTAAAGCTCGTAAGGGGCGCCCTGCAACGAGAACCACCACGGCGACCGGGCGCTCGTCGGAAAGCCTTTCAGCGAATCTCGGCAACGTTAATAACGAAGGCAACGCCCTGTCAGACCGCGCTTCGTTGTCTTCTATCGAGGACATGATCGAGTCGGATCCTGAGCCGAACGAGTCCAACTTCCAACGGAACAGCGGTTTCAGCCAAACTCAGCGTGCAGCAATCGAGGCCATCGTGACTGATTCAGTCCGCTCCACCATAACAACGCTTCAAAATTCGCCAGCCGCTCATCTTCCTTCACCAGCCGCGCAGCTCCCTTCTGCCTCGCCTCAAACTCTCTTCACACTGGGCATGGCTTCCCCTCTAGGGCTTTCTAGGCCAGTAGACAAGACTTTGGAGGACAAAATACTCAGGGGTGAGTACATTGACTTTGCGTTACTTTTGCCCGATACATTATACCAGTCCCAGACCCCTGAAATTCAGCTCCGTTTGGACGACTCGTCCTCAGGCCCCATGGGTTCTCCGGTTACCATGGTCAGAAAGAAAAAACCGGTAATTGATACCTTCCTCAAGTGGCTCGACGCCTTCATGACCTACATGTTAATACTCGTGAATGTCTACCCACGACGGGTGCTCGAGCTTATCAAATACCAGCAAATTATCGGCCGAGCGGTCGCTAAATTTAAGGGTTTGGCCTGGCTATCGTACGACCAGCAGTTCCGTCGCCGGGCGGCCTATGACTTGTCCCTGAGCTGGGATAAGGTAGACCTTGAGCTATGGACAGTGACTTTCGCAGGCCTCGCTAAGCCCCACTGCAATGTTTGCTCGAGTCCCTATCATGCTGAGGATGTCTGTCCTTCTGCTGACCTTAACAGAAAATATCGCCGCCCCCAGTCTGTGTGCTTCGACTTCAACAAGTCCTCTGGCTGCCGGCGCCGAAATTGCAGCTTCCCCCACGTGTGCCGCCGCTGCTTCCAGCACCCACCCCGCTCCGGAATGCATCCAGCCACAGCCCAGCAGCGCCAACAAGGCCCCAAGACCTAGCGACCGCAGTAAGAAGTAAAGTGGAGCAGCAACAGCTTAATCACAAGCCTTTAGTATCCTCGCCTATTGACATTTATCGTTTAGAGTTAGAATTAGCCACTCATCCTAATAGAAACTTTGTATGTAATCTGCTTAGTACGCTCAAGGAGGGCGCTCGCATCGGCTATACAGGGCCGCGTTCAGATCTGGTCTCCCCTAACTTCATTTCGGCAGCACAGCAACCTGAAGTCGTTTCTTTGAATTTGCAGATGGAAATAGCCCTCGGAAGGGTAGCAGGTCCCTACCTCCACCCCGTTACCTAAGTTTCAATGTCATCCGGTAGGCGTTATCCCCAAAAAGCACTCAACTGAATGGCGCACTATTTACCATCTCTCCTTCTCCCAGGGTACTAGCATTAACGACCACATTCCTAAAGATCCCTACTCTCTAAGTTATGTACGGGTTGACGATGCCATCCGTATCCTCCAGTCCCTGGGAAGGGGAGCTTTTATGGCCAAAACTGATCTCAAATCAGCCTTTCGTCTGATACCTATTCATCCGGACGACTGGAACTTACTAGGCATTTATTGGCAATTCTAATACTATGTAGACATGTACCTACCCTTCGGGCTCCGTTCGGCCCCGTTCCTCTTTAATCAGTTGTCCGACGGCCTCGAGTGGATCCTTAAAAATAACTACGGCATCCAGCATGTTATTCACATTCTGGACGATTTCGTTATTGCCGAGCGAAACAAATCAGACTGTTTAACCAGCTTTAGTACTCTGTTAAGGGTATTCATGTCACTTAAAGCCCCGGTAGTCGCTTCCAAGACGATAGGCCCCTCCCGGTAGATTGAGTTTATGGGTATTATCTTAGACAGCGTCCGCATGGAGGCCCGCTTGCCCCAGGACAAACTCATCAGGATCAATCAGCTGCTCGACTCCTTCGGTTAGTGCGCCTGGTCGAGTTACAGTCACTGATCGGGACTCTTCAGTTTGCATGTAAAGTAGTGGTGCCGGGTAGGACCTTTCTACAGCGAGCGATCAATTTGATCAGGGGGGTCCCCAGTCGTTTTCACCACATAAGGCTGAATAAGGAATTCTTTAAGGACCTAGTCATGTGGAAAATTTTTCTCTCCAAATGGAATGGGCGCTCCTTTTTTCTCGAGTCTAATCCTACCCCTGCTCAAAATCTCGAGCTATACACCGACGCTGCGGGCTCTATAGGCTTTGGGGGATACTTCCAGGGCAGGTGGTTTCAGGGGGCCATTGGCCCCCGAAAATGCAGTTGAACCAACAACAGGCAATTAGTATTGAATGGCAAGAGCTCTTCCCCATCGTTGTTGCCTGCGCCATATGGCACCCTCTTCTCGCCGGAAAACGCCTTCAATTCTGGTGCGATAATTTATCTGTGGTAGCTATTACCTATTCAGGGCATTCTAAGATCCCCCGCATTATGGATTTGGTTAGACGTCTCGTCCTTCTTTCCATGCAGCACAACTTCGTAGTGCGAGCTCGTCACGTGCCCGGGGTTTCAAACGCAATTGCTGACGCACTCTCCCGATTTCAGATGCAGCGCCTCCGGGTCCTTGCCCCCGACGCCAACCAGAATCCTTGTACCATCCCGCCTTCGCTCATGACCCTCTGAGGGAGGAAGTCCTCAGGTACGCTACCTGGGGTCTTGCTGAAAACACAAATCGGGCCTACAGCTCTGGGGAAAAACGGTTTTTACAATTTTGCCTTATGAATCGTATCTTCAGCTCAGACGGGGATGTGTTACCTGCCTCTGAAGGGAGCCTTATATACTTTGCTTCCTACCTAGCGAGAACAGTACGGCATAGTACCATTAAACTCTATTTAGCCGCCGTTCGCAACCTTCACGTGACAGTAGGGTACCCTGATCCCCTTAAAGGCAAGCTCCTTCTCCGTAAGGTTTTGCGCGGCTTTCTTCGCTATCAGGGCAACCAGCGCGCCCGTCGCCTACCTGTAACCCCTGAGGTTCTTCTTGCAATTCGTCCTGTCTTGCAGTCATGGCTTAGTCCCCGGGATTTTTCTATTATCTGGGCCGCGTTCAACTTAGCCTTTTTCGCTTTCCTGCGCTGTAGCGAATCTACCTACAGCGGGGTTCGCAAATTTCGCCAACAATTCGATCTTTCTACCGATTGCATAACGTTTCACCCCAGCCTGGCGTGCCTGCAGCGCATAACAGTATATCTAAGACATTGCTAGGGAAGGTCAGTCACTCACTATAGCTCGCACCTCGACGCCCCTTTGCGCAGTTGCAGCTATGCAAGAGTATTTTCTCTTAGTTAGGCCTCGGCATGGACCTCTGTTTTACTTCGCATCAGGTCGTTACCTCACTTGGGGCATCGTATCCGACCTCCTTAGGAATAGTGCTAGGGTGGCTGGACTCCCTTATCAAAGCCTAAAAGGGCATAGCTTTCGCATCGGTGCGGCCTCCGTTGCAGCCGCCGCCGGCTTGCCAGATTGGCTTATAAAAGTTCTTGGTCGCTGGTCCTCGGACTGTTACCAGCTGTATATCAGAACTCCTCAATCTACATTAGAGTCTGTGGCTCCCAGGATGGCTATTGTTCCTGGACGCTTCCAGCCAATATAGCCTCCTTTTTTTTTCTACTTGTTGATTCGTTTTCTCGTTGGGCTTGGGGGGATGCATTGCCTCGCATGCATCAGTGGCGGTTAAGTCTGCGCAGCGACTTCCCCCAAGCTTGTTGGCTGCGTTGCCGTTTAATATCACCCGCAAACCGATACTCTTGTCCGATCCAGCACGTGCTGTATTGCATTCAGCTCGTAGTGCTGGGGAGATAAGTGAGGTTCTTTGGTCACGCCATCGCCGGAAGTCGCATTAGGCTAACCTAGCGCAAGGCAGTGCTCCCCCATTAACGCCAACTTGTCATTATTTGTTTTTTATAATTTAGTTATGCGTTTAACATGCATCGCGAAGGAACAGAGACATTAATTATTATTATTATTATTATTAAAGATAGCACTAAAAGTTTTGGCTTTTTTTTTCGTGTCTTTAATATAGAATAAGGGAAGGAAACATATACTTGAAATTTAATAAACTGATGTGTTACTGTGGCATGCACCTGCGTGCTTCTCAATTGATAGAGCTGTCAAAATGCGACAGTCATTAATACGCCGTTTTAGTCAGTCAGGTGATTGCATTTTAATTTCCCTAAAAAGTTTGACGTTGCAGAATTTTCCGCTTAAGGGTGGATTTTCATTGTCGTATAATTTTACGGGCGTACACGCGTTAAATGTAAATTTTACTGGCGAAAATAACATAGAGGCGAGGTAATGTATATTCATACATTGCCTCTATCTTATTTTCGCTAGTAAAATTTAAATGCGTATGCACGTAAACATTACTCTACAGTGGTAATCCACTTTAGGGGGATATTTTTTTGTTGATCTTGCCCCCTAGGGTCAAGCGTTTAGTGACTAGTCACTTTCCAGCCAATTTTTTTTTTCAGCAGCTTAACTTACAAAGAAACAGAAAACTCAAGCTCGCTGAGTAGCCTACTGTAGGTTCAAGGGAATATTTTCCCCTTCACTTCTCTCCGCATATTGGGATGTAATTTTAGTACAACACGCGGATTCGTACTTGGTTAATTTAAAGATGTATATAGTAATCCTAACTTCTGCTTCACTTCAGTTTTCGCAAAGATTTATTTGTCAGAATACAACTTTGGTTGCGTCATCACTCCAATAAGGACGAACATCATCAATGAAGCTCTTAACTGCTCCTTTAGTGGTCTCACTGTCGAAGCTGTAAACTGGACGAGAAATGGACGACATATAAAAGAAGATTTCAACAAAACTTGGTCAGCGGTAATTGTTAACAGCAGTTCCCATGACCAGGTTATCGGGAAGTTCAAGTGTATCGGAAAGCGAGGTCATAACTTGTTTTCATGCTCGGCTTATCCAAGTAAGTTGAAATTTGAAGAAAAATTGCGTTGATCTTCATTCAAAATATTTCGCAGTTTCTGGATGACAAGCACAAATCCCCTGGCTATTTCTTTATAACCAGCCTCCCTTCTAGATCTTTTGCAAAGTTGGAAGGTGTATAGTCAATATACAATCGAGGCATTGAATTATTGCCAATAATAGGAACTTCGCCCAGGCAGCGGCGCGCAACGCAGCACGCCAGCGAAGGATCAATCTAGGTTTCTGGGAAACTGCCCTAAGCCAACATTTCGGCCCTAAGTGAGAAGTAAGTGATAATGTTGACAGTGGGGAGGGATGGGCGGTCAGTTTCCCTAAAAACCTAAATTGATCCAAAAAGAATTTCTAAAAAGAAATGCACAAATACGCAATTCATATTACAAGATGGATGTCGAGTGAGTAACTTTTTGAGGAGTATCTGCAATGATAAAGTATAGGAGGAAGTAAGGTTTCAAAAGAACTTCGAAATATTTGGAATTGAATTCGACTTTCGTATGATATGGGCCGAGATGAACTGCTGTTAATTCAAAGGCGGAGTAGCTAAATTTCTGAGTAAAACTGAACGGAAGAAAAAGATATTGCTTGTTGGAATTTATCTACTACTTTTTGATGAGCATCTACAAAAGAAATGTTTATATGCTGAAACCGAGTCGAGAAATAGTCTTTAGTTTTCAAGGAAGTCAGCTCCACGAAGATAAGCTTGATAAGGACTTAAAAATATTTCGAATGGGTGGCTGTTATGCTTTATCATCAATAATAATATTGTTAAACCACACCGAGTTCATAGAACTGCGCAGTTCTTCCCAGTCGGCTTCTTTCTTTCTTCCTATTCTTCTTTCCTGTCATTAAATCCCGCTTCAAAGGATGCACCACATGGGCTTTATTTTATTTCATTTATAAAGTTATTATTATTTTTTAAGGTAAACCGACCTTACAGGCCTTGCCTTCCGTTAAAATAGTGGAAAAAGGACTTATCACAGAGGTGGTTTGTAAAGCAAGTGGATGGCCCGCACCTCGTCTTTCCTGGTGGAAAAATGGTGTAGAGATTCATCATGGTTATTACCATAACTCATACTCCATCCATTCCTTCAGTAGAGTGCCAGGTGTTAACACGCTAAATATGGGGTTAATTATAGCTTCAAACCACCATCATGGGACCTACACATGCCGCGCCCACAACCTGTTTGGCACCTCCACACAAGATATCAGCATCATGATAAAACGTAAGTAAAGATTTGCCGTTTATAATTATTTTGTTAGAAGCGTGGAACGAACAAGTTTTCTTAAGAAGAAGAGAGAATAAATGAACTTTGTGTTAGACCGTTCAGCAGAAACTAATGCCATTCTCTCAGCATAACGTAACAGACGAGTACAGCTCCTTATCCTAAACTAGAGAGGAGGGTTGTTGATGTCCAGAGACTAGCTTCTTAAATTATGACTGTTTTTAAAAGGGCCCATGTTATATCTATTCCATCTTTTAAAAAAGCTAAAATGTGCCTTCATATCAGTTGCATTACAAAAATAATGGCCCAGTTTTGCCATTTAAAACTATATTTAGGTAGGGAAACTGTTTCCTGTTGTCTTTTGCAAAGGATGGCAAGGATCAGCAATGGATTGAAACATGGCCGAAAACTTAGCCCAACCTTTTTCAAGCTTTAATGTTATGCAGGTAAAAAAGCAGCAATTAAAGGAGCTGTGTCTCGAAATTCAGCCAAATTAGGAAATTACAAAATGCCCTTTAAATTAAGAGAAACATAAAAATAACCGCTTATAACTTTAAAGGAAGGTTAAAATAACATAACAGAAACAACAGATGCCACGGATGGGCAAAACTGAAGAAGGCTGAAACGGATTGAAATTAGGGTTTTTGAAAACTGTTCAGCCTAACTGTTTTTCAAAGTTGATGCCTGCTACTTGCAACTTCAAAAATAATGCTCAGGAGACATATTTTTTTGTCTCAGATCTCTGATTTTGTCATTTACATGAGATTTCTTTGCTTTCTTTAAGTTCCGTAGCGATTGAGGGCGAGTAATTGACAAAATTAAACAAAATGAACTGGACTGCCGTGAAACAGCCCCTTTAAAAATATCAAGGTTAACACTGCTCTCTGGTTAAATGGGTCTAAGTAATGACATCAGCACGGAATTAGCATAGAACAGCAATACCCTCGTGACATAGTCCGATCTCTTTAAGACGAGAAGGAAAAGGGGGAGTGCTGGCGTTGTAAAGATACACGATTTTCTTATCTGATTAATTTCTTGGTAGTGGTAACAGAAGAAATCTTCCTACCCAATGATATGGACCAGTTTGCTGCTGTAGCATTGGAAGGCAAGAATACCACATTAGAATGCACTTGCCAACCGAACAAATGTAATGAGGACAGTGCTTATGTTTACTGGAAATTCAAAAATCATTACGTGAATCAATCAGCAAGGACCATGGTATCTAAGAGAGGTCTGGACAACGGCCCGGTTAAGATTGTGCTGACCATACTCAACCTTTCGAAGGATGACGAGGGGGAATACTTGTGTGGAATAAACACCACTCAGGGATTTGCAGAAAAGCAATCAAAGCTGCACGTCTTAAAAAAAGGTAGGATATTTTTCTTTATATTACAAAAATAAAATAAAATAATGATTTTATCTAAAAACTATTTTTTCAAAAACTTCTTTTGCGCCTCGATGCAGGGTCTTTACCTTGTTAGTCCCTAAAAAGAACTTTTGCTTAGTTGGTCCCCATAAATTATGTAAGACGTTTCTTTAATCTTGGCAAAAGCTCACAATTGTGGTAATATTTTTGGATGAAGTCAATGTGCGGTACCAAATAGATATTTTACGTATATATGATCATACTACGACTATCGGTTTTATTTTTCTGATAAATGGTATGATTAACAAGTAAATCAATCACGGTTAGATCTCACTCACAAAAGTTTAAATCTCTTCGCAGGTTCTTTCCCTTCCGTTCTGCCAAAGAACGTTTCTGTAAAGCTTCATACTTCTGCGACACTATCATGCACAGTCATCTATCCTAATGTCCTACTGACTACATCGCCGTTTATTTACTGGAAAGTCAACCACACATTTATTAGAGACAGTTCTAAGGATTACAAAATGAGAGATGGCATTCCGCGCAATCATCCCAGTTTGTCTAACACAAAAAGAAAACTCCTCAAGCTTGAAATCTTTAACGTCAGCATGCAGGACTTGGGTTGTTATTATTCCTGTGGCGTGACATTCAATAAAGATATTTTGGTCGAGGGAGCAAAAATCTGCGTGCTCCGGTTCCCCAAGGAAGAAGCATCAGGTATTTTAGAAAAGTAATACGTGTCAACGAAGTTGGCTGGAAATTGCTAAATCCTAAATGTGTTTTCAAACACCGATTTTAAAAGGGTTAAAAAGTTTGGGGTCTAGTGTAAACACGGTATAATAAGTCGCCAATGAAAATATGATAAAGCCAGTAGTCCGCGAACCCGAGCCTTGTGCCTGCTACTCCACTATATGATGTGCCTCGCCATCCCAAACATAACCAGGCTACTAGTGAAGTTGAAGTTGAAGTAGTGATGGTATCTACGCTTTACGAAAAGTTTTGGTATTTGCAGGTGTACCGTTAGTGCTTTGAAAACTTGCTTACTTGTAAAGATTGCCACTTAGTGATTATGAATGTCATAGAGTCGAATAAAATACAGTCAAACATTACAAAAATACTTATTTTAGCATATGAATACGTCACAGAGACAATACATATCAGTAAAACACAAATCAAAGCCAGAAAGGTACATTGAGTGCAACCGTATGATGTACGGCCCAATCAGGCGTGATCTTTTTCTAACTAAAATCCCCAAAATGTACCCATATTCAGTTTGGTAAATTCCAACTGATCCAACGGCTAAATTTTATATCTTCTTTTCCTTTTTCAGATGTAACAAATGAAGCAGCAACTAATGATGAAGGTGAACACCTTATGTTGACTTTTATTTGAAGGGACAATGTCAGTTAGTGACTGTTGGTTCCCTTACGAGCAGGGCAGGAGGTTGGACCATCAGTGCAAAAACGTGACGGGGGTTGGGTGGGGGCTCTCGTTTACGCTTTGCTCGATGCTTGCTTCGTTCATTTTAATCTAGGTCTTGACGTACTTTTTAATTATGCTCAATTTAAGGCAGAAAACGTAATTCGAACGCATGTGTTAGAGATGAGAAGCATAAAGGAGCAGGAAAATTTAAATAGTTTGTCAGAAAACAGTCGGTACCTCACGCAACGACATCGTCAAATCAGGCGATGTTTTCGGTAGGACATCGGCAAACTACGAATTTTCTTTTGTTCTCTTTGGACTTGAATGCGATTCGCAAAAAAATTGCCTCACTTTATCAATTTGAGTAAGATGGAATAATTGCAATGAAGTTTGAAAGAAAAGAAACTGTTGCGTACTGGTAAGGGCATTTACCTCCCACCAATTTAACCTGGGTTTGAATCCTTTAAGCGGCGCCATGTCTGAGTTGAATTTGTTTGGCTCTCGCCCTTTATTGGAGAGGTTTTTTTTTTCTATTATTTAATTTCAATTTTTTTTTACCAGGTTCGACCGAGTACTCCGGTTTCACCCCCCTCCCCCGTCCTTAAAATGCTTCCAAATTTTAATTCGATCCCGATTGGGAGAGGAAGAATCACATTGTGGATGTACTACAGCTCTACCATTAAATCATTATATTTATTTGTTTTATCCCTCGCTTTTGGGCCCGGAAAACACTTCACTGTGAGCCACCTTTAATTATTGCAAAATTTTATGCAACTGTCTTTGCCTGCCGTATACTTAAATCCGACGCTTTCTCTTTCTGAGACGATGGATCTGGTTGGGAGAACTTGATAGTTGTTCCTGTTTCCTAGCTGTCGGACGTTTACATTTTGATTGCAAAAGTGTAGTCACAATAAAATGTCTTAGAAATTTATTTGACTGTACATTTCTAGGCATGAAGGGAACTGCTATCGCCCTCATAGCAAGTGCCGTTTTCATCGCCTTAGCTGTTGTTTGTGCAGTTATTCTTGTGACGTCTGGTGTTGTTCCTTGCTGTCGAAGAACTACATCTACTAAACTTACAGAGGACACAACTTTGTAAGTGCAAAGTGCTCCTTTGAAAGGTGTTGATTCTTGCGGGAAAGAATCAAGTTTATAGCAGTAACTACAGGACCAATGGAATTTGTTTTCTACGATTTGTTCACGTACAGAAGCAAAGAATTTTACAAGTACACATTATATATATTTTCAAGGAAGTCCAAATCACGCTTTACCGGGACAAATAAAAACCATATCGAAAGAAGCTTTCTTCACATGCTTAAGTAAGGGAGGCTGGAATAGCTAGCCGGCCTTCTTCTGTCCTATTCTGACAGTGTAGTAGTCAAGCTCATTCAAAACAAATCTGAGTAACCAGTCTGATAAACATTAGAGAGCTTTAGATTTGAGGAAGAGTAAGAGTACAAGATTTAACTGAACGTTTTTGCAGGTCTTCTCAGAAAAAAGACTCCCCAGAAAGCTTCATTTTACCTTTTTTCACCAAAAAAGTTAGTACTAAACGGTCCCGACAGAAATTTATACTGAAGGAGGTTAAGCCACTACGACATTCCCGATTCAACAAAAGACGTTTTATCATAAAAACTTCGTTACATTTGATAAACGTCTGAGACGTCTAATTCGTTTTGTTCCCGCCACTGACGACATTCTCGCTAAAACTCGTAAAACGGAGAATGACGATTCTCGCTAAAACTTCATTGTAGTTTTCCCCCCCAAAATAACGCTGGTTCACCTGTGAGCTATGCTCAGTGTTGAGAAAATCTCGCTACTCATATAAAAAAATCCGGAAATTTCGGTGGGAACAAAAATGGACTTCCTGATAGGTAAAAAGTTGTTACATTTGATCGTAAACCCCGGTACGGCACCGAGCCCGTTACCCGACAGGACACCAAGATGGCTGTCTAGTTGGTAACAATTTGAACTGGTATAAAGTACGAGAAACGTGTAAAGGGAACACGAAATTCCGTTCGGAACGTTCCAACTGGGAAAACGGGCCTACCTTTTTAGACTTTCCACTTTTTCCGGGAATCGGTTTCCAGTGGAACGAACCGACGAAACGTTTTCCATTTTTTGCCGAACCGAAATTTCCGGAAATTTTGACTAAATGGAAAGCGCCCGTAGTCGTCCTCGTCTCAGAATCTATAGCTCTCTATTGTCTTTTCGGCTACGTCCAGTTTTTGAAAACGCGTACTTTTTACACGAATCGGCTTTCTTCCTCCTCGTGTGAATCCGCACACCAAAGCCACATTGTTTTGAAACCGCTCTCCAGAGCTGTTTAAGGCCGTGCCTACGCGAATGCGGATAAAAAATATGCGGTTTCAAAAATGTCTAGAATCCTGTGGACACGGCCTTAATCTGTTCTCTTCACTCAGGGTCCTGACGAACTATAACGAAGAGAACAGCAAAGAAAGAAAACGACTTCCCATATTTGGGAAGGTCAAGCCGTTGATCGACGATCTAATTCTATGAATTTTCAGTTAATTTTATCCTCTTTGTTATTGTTTTTTTTTTCGGGGAAACATATGAAGATTAATGTGAGGATTTTAGAGTACTCTAACAATTACAGACATTGATAGAATGAGTAAACGAATAGTCATGAAACAAGTGAATCAACATATACATAGAACCGACTGAAGCATTTAATTGCTGAATTGCCATTTGGAAGGAAGTTCAAGAGCACACTGCTTATGTCTCGAAGAGCATTAAAGCTGTTGAAAAAGAACTGGGTGTCTTCGTTTTCCATGATCTAAGCTAAAATCATCATGCTAATCCTTTCGAAGCTCTGAGGGTGCTTAATTTGTATTATCGTACGAGAAAAGATTTAAAAGCTTGACTGATATTGGAATTGACAAATCACTTTACATAGCTAGTGTTCTAGAAGCAAATAGGCTAGTGTTATTTGATCCATATATCTATATATAAATTTATTAATTTACTTAGTTTAATATACTAGTGAGCTGTTTACAATTAGCACTGATAATTATTCATTCAAAATGAAAATACTTCACCGTTTCTGATTGGCTTAAATCCCCGGCTAATTCTTCATTACCAGCTAGCGTTGGCTAAATTTCGGGAAGAGGTTGGCGATATCCGATAAATTGACATCGATGGTGGAGGATAACAACAGAAAAACGCATGGTAACCGAGAAGCCCTGTGAAAGAGGTGCGTAAGCTCAGCTAGCTAGAGAAAATGGCGGTAAATTTCACACTTTTTACAACGAAGAAATAGCTGAACTTCTGCCTAAAAACTTAGCCAGAACTGCAAAAATACGGCGCGCGGATGACAACTGCTATTTTAAGAAGATCTGCTAGACTATTAAAACATCCCTTTATATCCTGAATTTCCCGAGGAACAGGCCAATGAAAACGGAAGTTGTGTGTCTTAGCTGGTTTGTAAACTAGGCATTATTTTGATTGAATAATAAAACAGTTATTGGATTCGGCTTCCGTATGATCTAAATAATTATGAATAAAAAATAAATATAACTCGTGCGCTACTGGGATGAATCCCAGCAGTTACCGGGCTGAAGTGTTTATATGCCAAAAAATTTCCAGCCCGCCTACCGAGAACCCGTAGAAACCGAGCCGGCACGCCCACTTGTATGAATACATCGAAATTTTAACAACGCGAGCAGCAGTTGGCCAGCCCGACCAATCGGGCCCTAATATAATGTCCATTCCTTCTTTGTTTGGGTATCATCTTAAGCGAAATGAATTACTTCTCAATATCAGAGTCGAAAAATTTCTCAAGCTTTCGTAACAACTTGATTGATAATTTCATGATAAGGGTAATTTTTACAGCAATTTCTTTTCCTGCGTCTACCAAAAGTTATTTCATCGTAATTTGTAACATCTTCCTGCTTATATGACTTAGAGATGGTGTATTAGGCTCGGAAATGAAGGGCTTATTGAGGTCCTTGGACAACCACCGTCTTCATCTCCGACGATCGCCATCTTCACGAGTGACCACCACGGTTCGAATTTTAGCTACAATAGTCAAGTACTGCGAAGAAAACATCCTGGGTTAGGTATAAAATTAAATCCGCTATCTCTCCTTTTTCAACTGGCGAGATATCACCGCAATAATACTAATAAACGGCTTCAAAACAATGGCTTTCGTACTTTTCAAAGAAACCAATTGTTTTCAGTAGCTTTGTGCATTATGCGCATGCGGGCGTGATGGCTCGCGCGCGTATTTTGCTCATACGACCCCGACGTAATTAGTTAACCGTGAATTTCTCGCGTTTCCTTCGGTAAATTTTTTTAAATATCGCCTCATTTCTTAACAGTTGCAGTACCTTTGTACTGTCCTTTTTTTGTTAAAATCTGTAAGAGCTAAATTCCTCCATTAAGAAAAATTACAAATATTGGCAGAACCGTCTTAGCGACCCCATGTTTTTTCCACTTTAAAATGTTAAGCAATATCGTTAATATAAAGTGGCAAAGTCTAAAGACATTTCACCGAGGGAAATAAGAAATATTAAGAAAAAATGATCAAAAATGACAAAATTACTGCCTGACTAAGGATGCGATGTTGCCATAGCAACGGCTTTAATCCAGAAAATGAAACCTGATAAAGGAGCCTTCTTATATGGGTAACCTTAGCGGTGAATCTTGAGAACAAAATTGCAAAGACAAAGTAACTAGATCTCGTTCTGTAACGTATGCTAGATAGCTAGGGTTATTAGTAAATACTCTGGGGAGCCACCTTAAGGGTATAGAACAGATTTTTGTAAAGAGTCGTGATCCTTGTGTAGTTAAGGTTTTTTAATTCAGTTTTTGCAATTTAGTGAAATAAATAATGTTATTTTTTCTATTGATTGATGCTACCTTTTAGTTTAAAGGATGCAGAGAAAGGAGTGCCGATTCCGATACTACGCAAAGAAGTAGTTACATCTCTCATCGTCATAGTTTCTGCAGGTCATGGCCATAACAGCACAGCCACTTTTCTCGAATACAATTGTGTTGTTAACATCTCTCCTATTTAAACCTTTCAAGGAGGAGCCATTATATGGCCAGAATATGATGTGTTAATGATATATGAAATACATCATATATGAACTGCGGGAATGATTTAAATCATATATCATTAACACTCATTTCTTTCACGGGAACATATGAACCCACAATTGACCTGCTCCCAACGTCATAGCTCAGTTGGCAGAGCATCGCACCGGTATCGCGAGGTCACGGGTTCAAACCCCGTTGAAGTCCTGAATTTTTTTTCAGGCTTCTTTACGCAATTACGCAAATTGCGTTCACTGCGACGATCATTTCTTCATTTACAGAATATGATGTAGGCGCAATTGTTTGGAAGTTAGTTTAAGTAGCGACTGTAACAAGTTATATCCATGATATCTTGAGACTAAACAGAGTAAAGAGGGTCTAACGAGTAAAAATTACATTCTAGATTGTACATTGAACTCATGATCTGTCTGCTTATTGGCTAAGAGCCTACAGTACGTTGATTTTGAAAATCAGCGCAACCTACAGATTCGCTAGTTATCTGGTAGCAGTTTAGTGACTATTTTTGGGTCGCGCGCGCAATGCATGATTTCCGAGATCAATGTTAACTTGGTTTCTGGCGACGGCGTTTCTCGCTATTTTTTTTTTTGAAAAACAATAATGAAACAATTACTCGATTCGGTTTTTTTGATATCCTTGATAATCAAGATCTCTTTAAGTGTTATCAGCCTATACCTTCGGCTTGGCTGATAACACTTACCTTCTTACCTCGACCTTATGATTATTCCGGATATCACAAAAACCTCATCCAATAATTGTTTTCAAATTGGCCCTAAGCTGGCTTATTGCATGGAAAAAGGGGCTCCAATAATTACTAGTCTAGTCATTGCAGAAGTCAACCGAAATATCTGTTTTAAAACTCTAGGCAGATCTAAGGTCTACAGTTTACTTATTTATAATTCTTATGAGTACCTAAGCAACAGGAATTTCTAATTGGAAATTTGCCAGAGTTGTCCCTCTTCATGTAAATAGTCTCCAAATTTCGATTTTTACGGTGATAAGCAAGATATACGAAAGAATCTTATACGGTCATTTAGTGGAAAACTAGTAGGGAGAACGTATACTAACATGGATCATGGCTTTTACAAACTATAGTAATCCTTTTAGATCTGAAAAGGCGTTTCATACCTTCAACCATAAGATTCTATGGTAACGTAAAAACTTGGACGGGTTTTCATGTAATACGCGTTTTGAGACTACGTATTTCCTGGCGTGGCTGACACAAATCTTTAGGGACTTTGTAATAATGATCTGGAGATGGGCGCTGAAAATTGAGCCTTACATAGGGTACTATTACGTTACGCCCCGTCCCTACCAAGGCAAGCTAGCTCTAGCCCAATCCTGCTCACTTAAAAAATTATGACCCAACTCACCCTACCCCCCGACTTATATATACATGAATTTACTCCTTATATGAAGTCTTTTGACGTCTGCTTCTGGAATAGTATCGCAAAACCTTGTTCAACAAAGCTGACCAGCTCAGAATAGTCTGATTGGGTATCGTCTTTCAAAATCGAGAAAGCGAGCTCTAGAGGGGGGTGGGGTAATTGATTAATATTTGGGTATAGGTGAGCCGCTGGACTTGAGACCTCTTCCAACGAGCTCCCTAGACATGTAGAGTATCGCTGTCAATCCCTTGGGGTGATTTCCTCCATTCTCCACGATGATCTTTGTTCCCTCTCGGTCAAGCTGTTGGATGTTTGCTATCCGCCAAGTTTGTGTCCACATGAAGTATGTAAGTACTGGTAAAGCGTACTCATTGGACGCCACTACCTTTGCATGATCTGACAATGGGCTGGACCAGATGATTGATAGCCTCTGCAAGCATGCCTTTGCTGCGGCTACCAGTTCTTGCTTATCCTCTTGCTTGGTGTTTTCGGAGACGCCTAGGAGCTTATAGGTGTTGTGTCTGTCCAGGCTCTTGATAGGTTTAAGATCAGCTATCTTCATATCTCCACTTCCTTGCTCGACTTGTCCCCTCTTCACGTGTATCACTGCACACCTCTTCTCATTCCACTTCAAACCGGTGCTTTCCATTTCATTCGTGACTCGTTTCAGCTTGTTCTCAGAAGCAGCAAACAACTTCATGTCGTCGATGTATAGGAGGTGAGTGATCTTAGTTGATATAGGCTTAGATAGCCTGTATCCCTTATTATTATCATTATTATAATTATTATTATTATTATTATTACAAGTGATACCGGTACAAAAGTAAATTATAATTATTTTACACTATATAAAGTTTATATGAAGTTTAAACCTTAGAATAA